TCTTTCAATAAACATACTATGTATGACAAAAATATAAAATTAACTCTTTTAAAGTCAGTTAATAAACTTTAAAGAAATAACAAATCTAACGCATATAATAAACTTTCTGACTTCAGAATCGCGTAATATCAATCTCTAAAAAATATTTGTATGAAATTTTACTTCGTTAAGATATTGCACAAACTTCAAAAGAAGAGGATGAACTGCACAAGAAGTCAGTCAATAGACGTAATAGTTTGACAGATTTTCATGTAAATAATCACGTGTTTCGCATGGCTTTTTTGTACTTCTGTTGCGGAAAATCGCGTAAATTCTATTTTGTTTGCGTGATATACTAAAAAAAGATCAAAAATTCAAACTGTCCATTGGGGTCATAGCAATTAAATAAGAGATTATCTTTTTCAAATTATACAATATCGATATCAATGAATTTTTGTATATAAAAACTTACAAATTCTATTGCTATGTTTTTAAGCCAAATTTGGCACCAATATAAAAACTACTCTAATTTTAAGTTCATAGAAATTACATGATTTTCATAAAATTTACTTTATCGATACCAGTTTTTAAAAGATCTTGATTTCAAGAATGAAAACCAAATTACATGTGTTATACATATATAAAGATAATAGATAATAGCCAACAATATATTTCATTATTATTTCAAAAAATAAAGCTCAGTTACTTGAACAATTGATTGCATCAACAAATTAGATGAATGGCGCTAATTTGATGTATTATTGTATAAGGTATGAATTTTATTTGTGATTGGCTAATTACGCAGAGTGCATCTCGTGATTGTTTAGATTCTTGTCCAAAGTGTAGCTTAGGACATTATATTTTAGACACTTCAATAATAAATCAATAAACATACTAATTTCGATAATGTCGCATGAAATTTTATTTCATTAAAATGCTGCACAAACTTCAAAAAGGGGAGGAGTCAGCCAAAAGACTTGATAGTTTTGCCAAAATCCTATGCAAGATAAACCTTTTAGGCTTCAGTCTATAGGGGTCGTAGCAATTGATTACTGTAGTTTAACCAATTACGTGTAATTTAGTATTCATAAACTATGGCTCAGTTGTTAAGTTAACATATTATTTATAGTAACTGACTAGCATTTATTTTGTTTGCATGCTGCATTGAATTCGCGTGAAATTTTTACTTCCATTGGTTATTGCACAAAATTCAAAAAATAAGATCTATTAAAAGAAGAGGAATTCGATGGATAAACTGCATAAGAGGTCAATCAATAGACTTGTAGTTTGACAAAATTGCATGTAATATGAACTTTTCTGGCTTCTGAATCGCATGCTTAGTTGTTTGCACAATACTTTGAAAAGATCAAAATTTTGAACTGTCCATAGGGGTCATGGAAATTACCTAAGTGATTATCTTTTTTGAATTATGCAATATTGATATCAAATGAATTTTTGTATAATATGAACTGGGTTTAAAGCAGCTCTTATTTTAATTCTGATATTATAAAAATTTTAATTCTATTGCTATGTATTCAAGCCAAATTTGGCACCAGTAGAAAAGCTACTCTAATTTTAAGTTAAATTATTTAATGTACTGTATAATGATACGTAGAAATTACATGATTTTCATAAAATTTACTTTATCGATACGTATATATAAACCAGTTTTTAAAAGAATAAAAACCAGATTACATGCATTATACATATTTTTTAGAATGATAATGCCTAGTACTGTAGTATATAGCCTAACAACTTACGTGTAATTTTAATATCTATAAATCACAATTCAATTGTACATAGTCAACTTATTATTTATCAGTAACATATTATTTCAGTATTAAATCTAAAAAGCATGTTTTAATACAAACCTGGTATTAATATAAAAGTACTTTAATTAAAATTTAGTTCATTTTATATGTTAAACGCGTTTTAATGTAGTTAACATATTTTTTATTAATAGAATATGTAAAACATTACATTCTCAAAAAGTATGTTAAACTATATAAATTAGTTACCTGGCAATCGATTTGAATCAGCAGACGAATATTTACCTATGAATAATTGCATATAAACAATCATAGAACTTTTTGATAAATTATATATAATTAAATTTCTGTAATCATTACCGGTTGTTGAGCTTATTATTTAGCAATATAAAAACATATTATGACCGATAATATATTTTAAGATTATTAATCTCAAAACCTGGTTTAAACCAAATCTGGTATTAATATAAAAAATACTGTGTTCAGTATATTCGTATAATTTTGCTCTACACGTTTTAATGTAAAATATGTAGTTTACATAAATAATATATAGCATTATGTGATTTTAGAATATCATGAATATGAAAATGTTATATCTATATATATCAAAATAAGTACATGCGCTTTATAAAACACAATTGAGCAATATTCATATCTTTTTTTTTGCAATTAGTAATAATCACATGGTTATTGATCTTTTAATTGTTACGTTAGCACTGTCATATATAAATAATTATTATGTGATTCATCTAGTAATTGCGAATAGGCTTTACCTGTCAGTATATTTGACAAAATTTAAAAATGATATATATGACGACCATTGTCTCACCTCGTTAATTCAAAAAATTAAAAGTCAACAATGTTTGCATTGCCATGTTTATCTAGCTTTAGAGGCACATCAGGTAGACTATCATGTGTTCTGACATTCAACAATCAACCTTGGATGTCAACACAGTACTTTAAGTTTAAACTGATAACTAGCGAAAGCATTAGTGTAATAGCAACTACTTTTTTACAAGCGTTGACGCCAGATGGTCAGCAAAGTATAAAATATGATTTTATGACAGCTTCCACATGTCAATTACCGTATGGACAATCAGGAGATAGAGAGATGACTATGGTGATGAAAGTTGAATGTGTGGTTAACATTCCTTATGTTGACGGTTTTAATTTCGCTGATAGTTTTGATATTGTCCATGTTTTAGTTACTGATTTGATTAATAAAAATTTAGCAAAAAGAGAAGCTAAAGCGTTACGATACATTTATAGTAATTGCTTTAATATGTATATTGAAGATACTTTATGATATAGACATTCACTTGACGACCTTGTTGAACATTGAAACATTCAAGTAACCTGCTTGTTAAGTGGCTGGGAGGTAATGAGTCTTTCAAATGCTGGAACAGACTTTGCTATATCAAGAGTTGTAACTCAACATTACAATTGGGAAG